CTACATGAAGTTTTAACATCAGATTTGGAGACTTTTCTGTTAAAATACACAGAAATGTTTTTGTTGAAAATCAGGTTGGGGCTGTTTTTTTGTACTCAAAACTTTTTTTGAGTTGAGCTTGCTGTTCCATATATGTATATGCCATAGGCTTTGACTCCAAAAAGGTAAGTTCCCATCTAGTGATTCAGCGTTAACGGTGGCTCAGTTGTTTGTCTAGACTTGACAGACAGGGAAGGCTGTCCTCTGTGGCTGTTGCTGTGCCCTCTTAATAGACTCTGACAGCCAACACACACGCACACCTTAGATACCGACAGCCTCTACTCATTTCAGATCTATATATATATATTCCCGGGAATTTCTCTTCTGATCTCTCTTCTTACCCCATCACTGCTTTCCTCCCTCTCTGCCCTTGCTTATGTTCTCTCTCCATGTGTGGAAAGTATTTTTCATGGGTTCACCGAAATACCCTGGCAGCATGAGAAGCATCACCGTTAGAAAGCACGTCTATGGCTAAAGGCGGGAGGAGAGCGATGGATTAATGGAGGGAATGGAGATTCAGGCAGCTAAAAGCGCCACAGCGAGATAAGAACTGGAAAATGTCCCTACTTGTGAACGATTTATTGATTTTCAATCTAAGTGATAATGCAATACTGGACCTCAGGAGGAAAAATGTCAGCCTGACAGTAGATTTTAAAAACATTAGCAAACGTTTGTCTTCAATTTTACCTTTGAAGACAAGTTTTTACTTTTTAGACCGTCGTACCAGTTTAGCGTGACTGACCTGTGTAGCTCTTCGTGAAGCAGATTACCATCTGTGTACATGAAAATCACGCATGAGATTATTTTGTGTGACTGTGGAAATGATTCGTATATCTCACTGGGACACCATACCAGGCTGGAGAGCCTTGTTCTGTCCATTTGTGCCAACAATTTTCATGTGCACGCACACATATATGTCTGACCTCGTCCCTTCTGGGTCCCCTACACTGGCTTTGACCAAATTATTATTATTATTAACCTTTATTTAACCAGGAAGATCCCATTGAGATTAAAAACCTCTTTTTCAAGGGAGACCTGGCCAAGATAGGCAGCAGCAGGTGTCTCACAGTTGCAGAAATTACTCAAACACAGGCAGCAACAACACACATGCAACAATAAGTGAAAGAATACAAATAAAATAAAATAAAATTCAATAAAACTCAAATAAAAATAAATAAATAAATAAAAAAATCAGTTAAAATGACAATCAATCTAATTAAAACAGTTGCATGTTATGGACTTGGCCTCAAGGATTCGTAGTTTAGATTTAAAAGCAATGGTCACAACAATTTGGATATTAATAATCATGAAACTGATCTGTGTTGGTCTGGTCCTAGTTTTGGGCAATGTGCAAAGGAACTGTTTATATGTTTGGGAAACCTGCAGCGAGCTGAGACTGAAGAAGTCACTTGGATGAGTGATGAAATGTTTCTCCTGAAAACCCGTCGTTCAAATGAACAGAATCAGCTTTTGGGGATTTCCTTACCTGGATGATTGAGCATGCATCGAGACAAACAGTCACTTACTTTTTTACCTGTGTGAATTGGATCTTGAAGGCTTGGTTGTGTATTCTGTATCGTTTTATGCCATATTGCACTGGTCCAAAATGATCTCCAGACTGACCGCTGGAGTCCTTATCAGGTGTAATTCATAGCCACTGTTTTGGATTAACAGGCACAAATTGTACCACAGTCCCCTTACAAGTCGTCCCTCGAGTTTGCACGGTGTAAAAGGGCCTTTAAACTCTCTGCACACGAGGAACAGAGAGGAGACAGAAACCATAGTTTTATATCCTCATCCAGAGCTGAAAGCTTGTGATAGCACGATCTATCACAAATGCTGAAAGAATCCCATCGTGTATAAAAAGGAGAGAAAATGTCCCAATTCAAACCACCCTGTCTTGTTTTTCAAAAGCGAAAAAAAATAATTGCCGGATTTTTGTGTTCAAATCCAACACATAATTAGCTCTGCTTTCCAGGGCTTTGCTGCTTCCTGGTACAAATTGATAAGGTAAACCTGTTCTGGGCTGTCTCTGCTCTGCAGTCTGCGTCCAGAAAAGTTATAAATAACAATCCTTCAGTAAGTATTGACATGTGTTGATGCTGTTCTCCGTTAGGTTTTCCTTACTTGCACCCTGCCCATGCTTAACGTAACCATGACTCGAATATGTTGGCTATAAGATCTCCTGAACATGGACTGTATATAGGTCAGTACAGGGGTATCAGCTTTTTGTTTTTGGCGTTTCAGCCTACTTAATGGATAGGTCATGTTTGCTTTATTTTCAAAAGCTGACACCAAAAGAAAAGGTAGATATGCACACAGACCAAGTTGTTTTTAGATTCTTTTCTTTCTTTTTTTAGCATTTTTAAATTGTGATGTATGTTTCTATAGCAAAAGGAGTGTAATGCACACAGGAAGTGATGGACCAGTACATAATCAAAACATTTAAAAGGATACAAGGAACTAGTCAACACTGTCATATAGAGGTGGGAATCACCATACATCCCACGATACAATATTATTGCAATTTTTTAAAATATTTTGCGATATTCAGATTCTGTACATAAAGGTAAACTTTATCAATATTCATTTTATCTAATATCAAAGTCTCACACTCAGTCTTTCTCTCATTTCAGTTTTATTGTTGACAAACTGAACGGTTTGTATTACAGTCTAGTCCAACTTAACTGAACAACCATCTGGTACAATTATAGCTATTCTGAACTATGCAGTTTATGAAAACTATGCAGCCCCTTCAGCAACTGAAGAATTTGAAAGTAAATTAAAACAAAATATAATTTTACATTAAATAAAAAAGTTTTAAACTTAATTAAAATAAAACATGTCTTAAATTAAAATAAGTAAACTGTCATGTTTATTGCTGCCAAAAACAAGTTAAACACATTTGGACAGTGAAGGAATGTCAGGATTCTTGCTCAGAAAAAGGATCAACATGCTCTGAAGTCAGAGCACAAAAACCTTTTTTGTAACAAAATATCGATTTCTGCTGTCCCTGTATCGATACATTATTAGCAAACAAAATATCACCATACTACATAGTATCCATTTTTTCCCCCACCCCTACTGTCATAGTGTGTTTTCTTCAGCATGAGAGGATTATTGTAACAAAGAGGTCTGGAACATGGAGGGGGCTGGATCAGCGGGTCAAAGCAGTGGAAAAGTAATAGGAGACATAAAAAAAAATCTACAACACAATCAAATAGAGCTAAACAAAACTGTCATTGCAGTTAATGACAGAAAGCTGTTGCACAGCTGTTGTCAACTCCAGTCTCCATGCATCTATTTCACTGTGACACTCATGGAACAGAGATTAGAGTGAGCTGGAAACGATAACACAAGCCTTCAGCTTGAAACACCTAAAAGAGAAAACGCACAGCCACAGCAGCACTGCAACATGGC